GAGCTTGGCAGAAAGTTGCCGGGGGGGCGGTGGGGGCGCGGGTGGCCGCCGGCGCCGCCGCGGAAGCTCCCTGGGCAGGGAAGCGAGTCTGAATGTGACCTGTAGAGGGAAACCCCCGGGTGCTGCTGCGCTGTTCTCGCTGCGGGTGCTGAAATCGCCGCTGGCGGAGCGCAGGGGGCTGGTGGGGGCAGGCAGGCTGGCTGGGTACCTCGTGCAGCCGCCGCCGGAGCGCGGCGGAAATCCGGAGCGGTGCTGAGGCCGCCTGACCCTCAGTGAGACCCAACCGGTTTGGCAAGGTGTGAAAGTCAAATTGCAAGTGCCTTTTTTCCTTTTTTTTTTTTTACCTTGTGTTCTTGTGTGCCAGGGCATGGGCGCTCGTGTCTCACAAAAGTTCAGGTGTGTGCAGGGAAGAGCCTGGGAATGAGAGAGCGTTCATTGCATGTTGTGCATGTCCTTGTGTTGCCTGGCTCGGGTCTTTTCCCCGTTGACTTCTGGTTTCAAAAAGTTCTTATTTATTCCTTTTTTTTAATGTAAAATGATCTTGGATATGAATGGTGCTGCAGTCTCTTATACCCAGATTTTGTGTCAGCAGTCAAGACTCATACTTGCAGGCTTCGCTTTAAATTTTTATACTTGTGCATCATAATTGTGACTTTGTTGAGAAGGGTAAAAGGCCTCTCATCTAAACCTCCTCCTCCAAACCAAAGCACGCTCCTTTTTTTCTTAATGGCATGATTTTGAATTCAAGTATTCTTTCCCGCGATGATAAGGGAGGTTTGGGTACTTAGTAATATTAATTGCCTGTTGCAGTTTAGCCAATGTACATTCACAGACTTGCACTCCATTATATAGAGGTACTGTTGGCAAAGGATGCCATTGGCTGAGCTTCATTCTCTTCTCTGTGGCATTTCAACTTATTGTTTCAAAGTTAATATTTGCATTTTGAGGATTTTCACCCTCTGGATGTTTTTATCTCTTCTCCAGCTGTGAGTTCAGCAAATTTAGTATGCCGTCTATTGAAATTTCTCATAAAAGTGAACTAATAATTGTATATTGGCTAATGTCTCAAAGAATAAGAGTAGGAAGAGAAATGTTTAATATTAGCACTACTTTTTCTGGCTTAGCTATTTAAACTCATTCAGAAATTAGAAATCAGATAATTAACATAGCATGGGCTCTTTAGCTTTTCTAATTAATCTCGTAGTCATATATTTATTTAATTATGCAAGGTAGTACACATACATGTGTTTATCAGCGTAAACATACAGATTTACATTACTGTCCAACTCAGTGTATTTTAATTTAGAATAAATCAGTATTGCAGCATTACAGTAGGAAAGGTTATCTATGTTTTTGTGATTATGCCTCCTTTAACAGTCAACTTTATTAAAGGTGCTCTCAGCTGCTTTTACTTATTTTACAGATTGAAAACAGTTCAGTAATAAATGATAGCTAAACTGAATATCTGATGTTGTACTTCAGTTACACTCAAGTAGGTTTTCAGGATAAAGTTATTGTAAGTGATCATGTTGAGTAGGCCATTGAGTACATGCTGCTTTTAACAGTTCGCTATTTAGAAATAAACATTGTTGATTTATCTCTTAGTTTGTGACAATTGTAATAGTGATAACAATTCTGCTATCTCTGTGATAGAGTATTTCACACTAAAAAGTATACAAAAGTGGCATCTTAATCTCTTGTTCCAATTGATGCTGCATGTTGCAGAGTTGTCAAAGTATTTGTTAATTAGGGGTTGACAGGAAGAATTGAATTTGAAGAGGCCAGCATTTCAAAATTAAGATTCTCTTTGAAATTCATAAATTTCCTTTGTATTGTACAACATGTAAAAGCTGACTTCCACATTTTAATTCACATTTATTGTTCTGTCTTTATTTAGGAAGGTGTGGGTTCAATACTTACTTCTGAACGTGGGATGGGCTGGTATAAACAATAACAAAACTATCAACTTCAGAGCTTTCTGTAAACTTAGGACATATTTCCCCCATGTGTAGGAAATGCCATAGGCTTATGGACAGATAAACACTTGGCAGTTTTTGTGCAATGTTCCTTTCAAGACCCTCTCTTTTCAAAATGTGAAGAGTCTGCCACCATGAAAATATCTTAGTATAAATCTGGTGTTGAGAGAGAAATGTATCACTTGGTTTAATTTCTAGAGTTCAGTTTTCTAACTTGGCCATATTGCTCATCATGTATATTAATGGTACACATACCATGGTTATGAATAATAACCATTTACATTAACTCCTTTTTGATGAGGCTAATATAGCATTTTATAGGTGCCTGTGATTTTTCCCTTTGGCAAAGCAAGGGAATAAGCTAACATAGTCCTCTTGATTAAGGGCTGGGTTTTATAATCTTTCAGGTATTTTTCTTGTCAGAAAAGAAACCATATAAATAGCAGAGACAAGGAGAAGAAGTGGAAAGAAACTGATCTACCTTCCTGCTGTAATGAATAAATAAAGGAGTAGAGGGGTTGGAAAACTCCATTGTTAGTGGCCTGACATAGAGTCAGATTCCCAGTGACCCAAGAGATGCCAGAATCACTACCATATTTCAGAAAGGAGATGGATCCGATCGCAGCAGTTGGAATGTGTGGTTCTTGGATTGGCCACCTCAGTCATCTGTGGACTTCCCTGTTTACTGGAAAACTGTTGGATTTGTATCAAGGAATTGCCAACAACCAATGTGTCAGTTGCCAGTTATACCAGAGTATTGTGGTGGGGATCTACCTTTAGGAGAACTTTCAGCACAAGGAAGTTGGCTAACAGGGCAAAGAAAATAATGCACACAGTATCTAGGCATTATCATGAGATGATGCCCCTATACAGCCATGAGGACGTTGGGGTGTCACAGTCTTTTGAAGGGTGCCGTGAGGTGTGAGGAGATAAGCGTAGGCTCAGTTTAATCCCTGCCTTCCTATGGTCCTAATCCCACTGTCTGCCCTCTCTGCAAGATAGTAAGCATTGTAATAAATTAGGTTTTGAAATGGGGTGCTGTTCAGTTCAAAAAGAGTTATGAAGGGGTATCTCAAGTCAAAGGAGAGGTGCCTCAAGTCCACAAAGGCTGAGAACTACTGCTATACAGTATTAGGCTATCTTGCATTAGCAGTGAAAATGATTGTCATATCATCTGTCCTAACAAGCAAAGAGGTATATTGTGCTAAGGAATAAGGTGCCTTAGGGATAACATGCTGCTGCTGCTACTGTACAGTGTTATGCAGTATTTAGGCTAGGATTTGGAGTGACCTAGACAAATTAGAGAATTGGACCCCCCCAAAAAACTTGTGAGGTTAAATAAGGACAAGTGCAAAGTCCTGCACTTAGGACAGAACAGTCCCATGCACTGGTGTACAGGCTGGGGACCAACTGGCTAAGCAGCAGCTCTTCAGAAAAGAACCTGGGGGTTACAGTGGACAGTAAGCTGATTATGAGTCAGTAGTGTGCCCTTGTTGCACAAAAGGCTAACGGCATACTGGGCTGCATTAGTAGGAGTGTTGCGAGCAGATCGAGGGAAGTGATTCTTCCTTCTGTTTGGTATTGATGGGCACGTCCAGACGAGCATGCGTGTGCCTGTTGCCCCATTTCGACCTCCTTTTAGACGGGGCAACAGATGCGTGCGGGAACTTGCAGCACAAGGAGAAAATTAGACCCCTGGATATCCAGGGAACTAAAAAAATAGAACTTTTAAAAAGCGGAGCAGGGCACAGTCTGGGATCATGCCCTGAGGCAACCAGAGGCTGGGTCCTCCATGGAGACAGTCTGGCTGCCAGAGTGTCACTGCGGTTGGCCCCTCACCCTCATGCTGAAACGTGTGGCCAGCCAGGCCACGTGTTCAGCACCAGGGCTCCAATGCAGGCAAATAAGGGGTTGGGGAGGGGTA